TGACAGCTTTTCTCAAAAGAGTATTGACTGAAGCTAATTTGTATTTATAGAGAATCCTATGTTGATCAGGCATATGGGTCCTAAGCATCTTGGAACTCAGACTTTCCATATGAGACGGGTTGAGTAGTTGAACCTTCAGAAGATTGTGACTGGTTTGAACTGTCTTCTAAATTTTTTGAACTGGTTGACTGGGCTTCACTTTGATCCATAATTTTGCGAACTAGGTGGAGCACTTCATCTTTGGATAATTTGGACTTGCTTTTGGATTTGACTTTGGGCTAGGTTTACTCTCGTGAAATAATTTGATGAGAAGTCCTTTTGTTGATTTTGGAGGACATTTTATTTTCAATTTTACTTCTTAATTTATATGTTGATTTTTTTTTACTATTTGTTCAAATTTATATCTATCTGTTCAAATTATTTTCTATTTGTTCAAATTTATATTTATCTGTTCAAATTTTTTGGCTATCTATTCAAATTTTTTGACTATTTGTTTAAATATTTTTTTATTTGTTTAATTTTTTTTAACTATGTGTTTAATTTTTACCCTTTATTGATTCAAATATTTGTCCAAATTTTATTATCTATTCAATTTTTGCCCTAAATTCTATATGTCAAAATCCTATCTGTTTAATTTTATTTTTATTTTTTCTCTCTGTTGAAATATAGAACCAAACCAACCCATATATGTTGCAATAGTAAGCCAAACCAAACCCTAACTGTTATAATTTTTTTTTTCTGTTTGCTCTCTATCATCCTTATCTGTTCAATACAAAACAAAAACAAAAATAAAAATTTATCTATTTGATCATTGTTATCAACAATAACAACAAGATACATTTTATTTTCTCTCTTCATCTAACAATCAATTCCCTATCTGTTCTAGGCTTCGAGGGAGAGGCATCGAGGATGATCATGAGCATTGAGATTTGGATCGATGTTGGAAGATCAACAGATAGAAATCCTTGGGAAGCAGATCTTCAAATCGAAAATGATCTTGGCTCTCTGTCGTCGATCTTGGCTCTTTGTCGCCAATCTTTGTTGGGGAAAGGGCTATAATAAATGTTATCATCAATGAAAAAGATAATAAAACAAAAAACAACACAGAGACCAAAGTATTATATAACATAAGATCGAAAATTTTCTTTCAATAAATTCATACATTTTTCAAGCGTCAAATAAGGAAATCAAATAGAGACATGCCTGCAAACCATTGAGAGGTAGTCGTGCTTCATAGAGAGGTCCATGGCTCACTTGAGACGTTGGTTCCTCACGTCCACGATCTTTCGAGGAAAGCGATTCAAAGCTTTCTTCACATTTAGATCGTAATAGGGATCGTATAGATTTACAGCATTTGAGGCGGAAAAGCTCAGATCTGTAGATTTGGCGATCTATAGTGTTGAGGTATTAAATAGCGACGCAAGATCAATGGCGACTTCGACGACTACAAGAGAGAGAAAGGGTTTGAAGAGAGAAAGGGTCTAGTTTTGAGAGAGAGAGAGAGAGAGCAGAAAAGAGAGAGAGAGGTCGATGGTGAGATCGAGGTCAGTGATAGGGACCAAAGTGATGGTGTTAGTGACAATGGAGGTAGAGAGAAGAAAGAGAGAGAGAGAGAGAGAGAGAGAGAGAGAGAGAAAGGTAGTTTAGGCTACGGTTTAGACGGTTTGGTTGTCGCTAACGACGTAGAAGAGACCGTGGAAAGAGATGACAGAGGCGACGATGGTAGTGGTGGAGTAGCGGAGGGTGAGGGGAAGTAGTGGTGAGAGATGGAGAGGGAGATGAGTTACAGAAAGGGAGAAGGAGAAGGAGAAGGAGAGGGAGGGGGAGAGGAAGATGGAGAGAGAGATGTTAGAGAGAGAATGGTTTGGTTCGGAAAATTATATATATAAATAAATAGTTTGGTCATTTTAAAGGAGTTTGCCCTTATGGATAAAATATTTCAATACCTAAACCTTTGGGCAAAAAAAATTTAAAATTGGATTTATCGCCTAAGTGCCCAATAAAACAAAAGAAAACAATCATTAAATGTATCAATTGTTTTTAATTATTAAAAAAAGGTTAAATTACACTCACTTCCCTTAAGGTTTCGACAATTACACCGACCTTCCTATTCTTTTTTGAAATTACACTGACCTTCTTAAGTTTTACTTTTGATTTGCACTTTTTGTCCCTCTTCGTTAGTTGACCATTAGTTTGACTAAAAGTTCTGTATTTTTTTTTTATTTATTTTTGGTGGGAAAAGTTAGTAATTAGTTGTTAAATCTGCACATAGGGGATTTTAATTTGATTTGCATAAAATTTGAAGTGATTATCTGTAAATTAAGAATAAAAAGAATAAATTAATCATTTTTTAGGTAAACAAGTTAGTATGAATTATTGAAACCAAATGAGAAATATAAGAATTTGTATGTGTTTAATGCAATAAATTATATATAGTCAAACTATGTGAGTGTTTAGAAATATTATTTAATACTACTCTAATAAACATATGTAGTATCTTAATTTGATTTTTATTAATTCAGATACTGAGACTTATCAATTTGTTCTTTGTTTTTAGGATAACTGAACTGATGTCAAGTATAGATTAAAAACTACTAAATAACTTCGTTTTTTATGTAATTAATTTTTAATTTGTTTCATCATCATTTTTGTCATAACAATAGGTTATTTTAGAATACACACCATTTTATGTGTGCCATATATAAGTTATAACATTTATGGTCTTAAATATCAGAAATGTCAACTAAACCACAAATGTTATAGCTAAATTTTTTTAGGTACAATTAAAAAAATTAGAGTCATAACTAAATACCACATAAGCTGTAAAAATAATCACATACTTGATGGTTTACAACAAAAATATCTTTAATATTAAAAATAATAAACTAACCCTTCTATTAACGGCGTTAGTCACAAGAAGATTAGAACAATTTTTTTTTTTTAAAAATCAATGTAATTATCAAAAATCTTCGGACAGTGTATGTAATTTATCCTAAAAAAATAAGCATTATTACCAAAATCACTATAATTAAACACACACAATTTTAAGATATAACGTTATCGCCAACCCATCATCAAACGTTTTATCAAATATAAATTTGATGAAAAATTTGTTTGATATCAAATGAAATGAGAATTAAAATTTTCATTAAATTAAGAGGACTTTAGTCCTTTCATCAGATTTTGTAGGTGGATGTTAGGCCAGACGTCCTCCTAGGCATCGTCCAGACAATTGGGTTTTTTTTATCTGAACGTCAAATTTTACTCATGTCTAGAAGTCCGCTTGAACGTCTTACCAGACAATCGACCTTATAACAAGATTTGATGAAAATTTTAAATTTACTATTAACGTACATCATATTAAATTAAGGTTGCGTTTGGTTTAGTTTTGAAATTGTGATTCTCTTTTTGGAATTGTGATTTGAATGTAGAATTGTGAGTTAAGCTTTGAAAAGAAAAAATTTGTTTGGTTATGAGTTTTGAAAGGAATTTTTAAATTTTAAATTTTGAAAAGAACGGATTGGGTCTACCCAATCGTCCACTCGGACATCCTCCCGGACATCCGGCCGATTGACTGAAACAGCGCAATTTTTTTTTTTGGCAATTGCTGGTATTTGAAATATGTATATATATATATATATATATATTTTTAGATATTTTTTTAAGGGTGAATTACACTAACAGTCCCTATCGTTTGGGGCTTGTGTCACTTTGGTCCATGACTTTTTAATTGTGACACGTTTGACCCTGAATTTTGAATCTTGTTCCAAATAAGGACGAATGAAGATGCCATTGCTCAATTTTAAGGGTAAAGTTATCAATTTGATAAAATATAAATTAATTTGACAAAAATAAATGTCAAAAAAATATTTTAAAATTTTTAAAAATTATTTCTACCCACCAAAGATAAAATTATGTAAATTGATAAATCTCTTACGCATTTATTTATTTTATCAAATTAATTTTTATTGTGTGTTTGAATGATGATCATGTAATAGGTAGTTACTAGGCTTTTAGGGCATGTTTGATTACAGGATTAGAGCATGAGATTGGAATTACTAATCCGTGGCCCCAATAATCATGTGTTTGTTTTGAAATTTTATTTCAGGATCAATGGATAATTAATCCAACAAATTTGTAGGATTATTAGTAATCCTACGTTCATATATTTTCTTATCCAATGCAAATAAAAAAATGGATAAGGGGATAATTTATCTTTTTAATCTAATTGGATATTAAATACCACACTAATTCGATGGGATTTTTTGATTTAATAGATTAGCTTAATAATGATATCAAATTTGTTGTCATATTTGACTTTTGAAAAAATAAAAGCTAATTTAATGAAAATAAAAATAACCATCCATTACATGATCATCATCTAAACACATAATAAAAATTAATTTGGTAAAATAAATAAATAAATAAAAGATTTATTAATTTTACATAATTTTATCTTTGGTAGGTAGAAATAATTTTTAAAAATTCAAAAATATTTTTGACATTTATTTTTGTCAAATTAGTTTATATTTTATTAAATTGACGACTTTACTCTTGAAATTAAGCAATGATATCTTTAATTGTACTTATTTGGAACAAGATTTAAAATTCATGGTCAAATGTATTACAATTGAAAAGTCAAGGACCAAAGTGATACAAGCCCCAAACTATGAGGACTGTTAGTGTAATTTGCCCTTTTTTAATATATGAATTATTTTTGTAATATTTTTTTATAAAAATAGTTTAACAATCACATCCCTAACCATTTTCAACACTACATCATCAAAAGAGTTTTGAATTAAATTTTGAATTATGTGTTTGATTATGAGTTTTGAAATTAATTTTAAATAATTTTGAATTGTGTGCTTGGTTATTAATTTTGAAAAGTAATTTGAAAAATTTGCTTTTGAAATCATGATTGCCATGGCAAACCAAACACAATCTAAATTTTTTATTAAATTTTTATTCAAATTTAATTAAAACAAAATTAATAAAAAAAATTGATGGAAGGATTGGAGAGGTTTAAGATGACAAAATAATTACTACTAATCATAAAGCTATTTTAAAATTGATCATCAATGGATACCCAATCTACTTCCAGAGAAGTCTTCTTCAGTGAATCCCAAATCCAGTCTGTACTTCAATCTCTCTCTCTCTCCACTCACACACACAGCTTGCTGATCATAATTGTCAAAAAGGTACAATATTTCCCTCTCTAATTAATCATCCCTCTTCATTCTTATTTCTTCTATTTTGTTCTCTCTCTACCACCCGAAGCCCTAGTTCTCCTCCTGTTCGATGCAGTGATCTCCAAGACGCTGTAAAGTCATTCAATCGCATGATCCAAATGCGACCTTTCCCTCCCATTTCTCGTTTCAACAAAGCTTTAGGTCCTCTTTTGAAAATGGGTCATTACGACATCGCTCTTCCTCTTATTGGGAAATTGCATTTTCTAGGCATACAGGACAATTTCTACACCTTCAACATTGCTATTAACTGTTACTGCCGCGTTAATTGAGTCGATTTTGGGTTGTCTCTTTTGGGTACCCTCTTCAAACGCGGTTATACACCCAATGTAACTACCTTCACAACTCTGATTAATGGACTTATTTTGCAAGATAAAACTCCTCAAGTTGTGGAGTTATTTAAGAAATTAATGAGAACTAGAGAAATTGAACCTGACGTGGTTATGTATGGAACCATTGTCAATGGGCTCTGCAGAACAGTGAACACTATCAGGGCTGCTAGTTTGCTTAGGATAATGGAAGAGGGAAGTCGTAAACCTAACACCATAGTGTATAACACGGTCATTGACAGTCTTTGCAAGGATAGAATGGTGGATGATGCTATGAAACTCTTTTCTAAGATGAATGAACAAGGCATTCACCGAGATGTTGTCACTTATACCTCTTTGATTCATGGCCTATGTAATTTTGGCTGGTGGAAGGAGGCTACTGGAATGTTTATAGAAATGTTGGATAGTGGCATTGCTTTGGGTGTTCATACGTATAGTGTGTTGCTAGATGCATGTACCAAGGAAGGGAAGATGAAAGAGGCAGAGGGGGTACTTGAAGTCATGATACAAAGAGGTGTGGATCCTAATGTAGTCACATACAATACTCTAATGGATGGATATTGTCTGCAAGGCCACATGGATGAAGCAATCAGAGTGAGGGATCTTCATCCTGATGTTTTTAGCTATACCATTCTAATCAATGGATATTGCAAGAACATGAAAATAGATGAGGCCATGCATCTCTTTTGAGCATTGCCTCAAAGGGGGTTGAAACCCAACAATGGAACTTTCAACGCTATGTTATGGGGTTAGTTTCAAATAGGTAGATGTGGAGCTGCTCAAAAACTTTTCAATGATATGTAAGCTGTAAGCATAAATCCAGATTCTCAAATTATTGGATGGGTTGTGCAAAAATGGGCATATTTCTGAAGCATTGTCATTATTCCACATGATGGAAAGCAACGATTTACATCTTGATATTGTTAAGTATAGTATCCTCATTGATGCATTCTGCAAGGATAAAAAGCTTGACACTGTGTTGGTACATAAATTTTAAACCAAATTTATGTTTAAATTTCAAATACAGTCAATCACACACATAGAGCCTACGATAAGATTGTTGTAGGCAATCACTTCCCAAAATGATTAACTTGCTCCATTGAAGTGTATAAATAAAACAACGTCGTATCTTAACGACGTTATTCAAGCTGCTCAAATGACACGTGGAGCCTACGAAAGATGACACCTGTAGAGCCTACAGCAAGGACAGCACACAGGATGAAACCCCAAAGATCAATCCGGTTAATCAGATATACGATTAATCAGATAGCGCTATTATTCAAAATTCAAATAGACGCTATCATTCAATTTGAAATTCAAATTGAAGATGAAGCATTCCTATCACCTGACGGCCCTCCATAAATATGAGGACCATCACACAAGACGGGGATCAGAAAATCAGAAGGGAAAAGATCAGAGAGAGAGAGAAAAAGAAATTGAGAGCTAAACAATTCGTTACAAGAAAGAAGAGAGAAGCCTAGAGAACTCAAGAGCCTATGCTAATGGCGATGAATAGGTAAAGGGTTCCAAACCCAAACTGTATTTTGTATTCGAGGGTTCAAAACCCATAACAATCTCAATAAAATATTTATTTATTTTTCTTAAATTGTCTTTTGTTGTTTATTTTGTTCTTCATTAATCGGAGGTTTCATTTATATAAAATGTCTAATTGACGATCTGAAATACAGATCGGAAATAAGAACCTGCTATTCAAATAATCAACACTGTTTAGTCCAAAAAACTAAACAGTGGACATTTGTAACATAAATTTTGAAATGTGTTAAAACACTTCATGTTTTAAAATTTGTGTCTACAAATTCTGGCACGCCCAGTAGGACATTATTTCTCCTCCCATCTTTTGAAGAACAAAAAAAAAAATATATATATATATATATATATAGTTGAAACTTACTGACGGATTCTTTTGTTATAGGAATGCTGAAGCAACTGTTAGGAGACAAACCTACACTCCAGTGGTTCTGAAATCACCAAGGTTGGAGATAACACCCATCACCCAAGGGGCTCCGGAGCGAATGCTCTTGGCTGTCCCAAAGGAAGAGCCAACGAAATCTTGGAAAGATGCACTTCTTTCCCCTGCCACCCAAGGGGCTCCGGAGCGAAAGCTCTTGGCTGTCCCAACGGTAACTGGTGTGACGAAGAAAGTCACACTTCTCCAGAAAGCTGAAAGTTTGAGAAAGATTACTGAAGATTATGTGAAAGCGTCAAAGCAGTACGCAATTGTGAGGGCCATAGCCCGAACGAAGAACTTTCTAATTCAGGCAAAGGAGGCTAATCAGTTTGCAACTGCGACTTTTGTTGCAGCTTCAACGGGGGCAAAAAAAAAATGTTGTGGCCCAACTACTCAAAAGGGTAGAAGACTCCATTAAAATGGTGGAGTCTACCCAGAAGAAAGCTTCTGTTGAAAACATGGCCATCATTAGGGCCATTGGGAGGAGGGTAATGACCCAAACTCCTGTTGATGGAAAAAAGGCCCCTGTTGTTGAAAAAACAGTTGCTGCCTACGAACCGATAGTTCTGTTCAGAGCACAAAATCGGTCAAACCAAATCTCAGTCAACTCTCAGGAGCCAAAGGAACACCCGTTGGCTCGACAGGGTTCAAATAAGGAACACCCGTTGGCCCAACAGAATAAGGAACACTCGTTGGCTCGACAGGGTTCAAATGAGAAACACCCGTTGGCCCGACAGAATAAGGAACACCCGTTGGCCCGACAAGGTTCGAATAAGGAACACCTGTTGGCCCAACGGGATTTGAATCAACATCAATTGACCTGCTCTAAAAATGTAGGGACTGTTTTGAAAATCCATGAGGAATTTACGAAGGCACAAACGGTTCCTTCTATGCCCTTAGGGGCTCGACTTGATATGTCATCCGGCCCAGTTTCGAAAAGACAAAGGCGAAGAAAAAATAAGGCCTTAAAGAAACTGGAACTAAGAACAGTGGCAACAAATGTTATAGGAGCTATTGAAAGGGCTCTCTCGAAAGATGAACCCCAAAAACAAATTGAAAGTCCTGTCTTTGTTGGAAAATCTAAGGTGGAGGAGGGTAAGCAACCCTTGGAAAATATTTCTACTTTGGTTGAACTATCTATGGAGGGAATAAGAAAAGGGCCTGTAGCAAGGTCCATAACCCGTCAAGCTCAAAACAAAGCATCGCAGTCAGATACTTCAAATATGAGTAATGTTGTGAGGGTTGATAATCCTTTATACGAGCAAGATGATTCTATCTCGTTTGTTTCAACGGATATTGGAAACAATGAATTGAAAGATATCAACAAAGTCGCAGTTATGATGACTGAAGTTGAGAAAGAAGGTGAAAATTCGCAGGTCCAACAAGACCAAGGTCTCAAGGAAAAAGTGGTGGCCCTACAAGAACAACTTGAGAGAAGAGAACGGGAAATGGCTGCTATGTTGGAGCAAATGCAACAATTACAGGCCCAAATGACAGGACCAGGAAGTGCACCCAAACAAATGACACAACTTGTTGTGGGGACATTCGCAGGCATACAAAGCACACTAGCCCCAGGGGGCAATGGTCATTGTTACTCCGATCTAACCAGTGGTGGTATGAATCCATTGCTCATGGCCATGATTGATGATATGGTGACGAAGACAAGTAAAGAAAGTCAAAGAAAAAGATGATGAGAATTTTCGAATAATTACAAAACCTTACCCAGCTTGGGTAGATGCTGTTGCATTCCCTTCTGGTTTTTCCCAACCAGATTTCAAAATGTTTGATGGAACAGGAGATCTAAGACAACATGTGGCTCATTTCCTTTCAAGATGCGTGCCAATAGCCCAGAATGAGGCCCTGTGCCTGCAGCTATTTGTCCAATCGCTTGAAAGTTCTGCATTTACTTGGTATGCTAATCTTCTTGAGGGATCAATCCTAAATTGGGATTCCATGGTGAAGGAGTTCCTTAAACAGTTCTGCAACACACAAAGACGTGTTGGAGTACCAGAACTGATTGAGACCAAGCAACGTGACAATGAGTCTGTTACAGATTTCATTGCAAGATGGCGAGCTTTGACATTTGCTTGTCCTCAAAAGTTTACACAATTAGAGTTAATTCGGATGTGCCTTAACAACTTCCGACATGAGCTCTCTACGACTTTTATGGCTCAAACTTTTGAAGGATTCAATGATCTATGCACTAAAGCTCATGATATGGAGCTGCATTTAGCTAAACGAAGGAGGTCTAGGGCCGTTGAAAGGGTTGAGTCCTCGACTGAAGCTACAATTGAAACCAGAAAGAAGGGTCCCATTGTAGTAGGGGCTAAAAAGCCCAAGGAATTTAAAAAAGTGACTATGAAAGAGAGGTTGGAGAAGAAATATTCCTTCATGGATGATCTGGTCGAAGACCTATTTGAAGATCTGTTGGAGCAAAAGTTGATTGCTCTCCTTGAGGTAAAAAGACCACATGAGGTAGGAAAGACCAACGATCCAAAGTATTGCCCCTACCATCGTTTGATTAGCCATCCGATAAAAGAGTGCTTTGTTCTGAAAGATAAAATTCAGGAACTTTTGGACTCTAAAATTATCGAACTCCCTCCTCAAGAGAAAGCATCTGCTAACCCAATCACTATCAACAATGATAATGAAGGTGAATGGGTTGTTTATCAGTCAAAAAGCATAAAGAAAAAACAAAATGCCACAGTGAAAGCTAGAAGTGTGGTAGATTCAACAACACAAGGGCCAAAAGTTTCCAAAAAGCAAAAATCAAAAGTTTCTAGGAAACAGAAAAAAGCCAAAGTAAGTAAGAGAAAAGGAAAAAAGAACCCAAAGAAGGAAAAGGGGGAGAAATTGGTCCCTGATGAGCAGTTAGAGCAAGGTCCTCTTGTCCCAGTCACATTAGAGGAATTTCTACCTTCAAAATTTCAATCTGTGGAGTTGCAGACATACTTTGATAAAAGAAGGGAGGAAAAGTTTACTTTGGCCCCTTGCCTAGCCATTGTTGTTTTGAGTGATGGCGAGGAAGATGAGGGTAAAGTTGGTTCAAAAGTTAGGGAAGGGGATTGCATTACATCTCCTATCTGTATACCTGACTCACCAGAGTATACACCAACTTCTCCAGAATACACACCAACCTCTCCAGAATATACACCAGCTTCTCCAGAGTATACACCAGAAGCCTTTTCTCCAGAGTATTCACCAGTACCACCAATGTACTATCAAAGCACTCCAGAATATGTAAGGGGAATAGAACAAAGAGACACTGGGTGTAAGTCCGACTCTGAGCTTGTAAAAAAGGCGAAAAAATGACTACACTTTAAGGATGATGAGGTGAATGGCAGGTGTAAGTCGGATGATGAAGTATGGAAGCATTCAAGTAAACAAACAAAGTCATCTCAAGTTGAGGATCCTAATGAAGATTGGGAACTTGACTTTTCCCCTGATGATTCACCAAACACATCCCCGGCTAGGACATACGATGGAGAAAGTGTATCAAGTGACCACTTTGACTTTCCTTGAAATGTCATCACTGTGGACTTAAATTTTGAAGAGCGAGAAATACATATCATTCGCAATCCAGGTAATGATGAGAAAGCAAAAATTGAAGCTAGAAGGGAAACGGAACATCAGGCAAAAGTAACAGTCTCTTTGAAAGATGAGGGTTTTGAAGCCCATCAAAATTTGAGTATTGAAAGAAATCAAATTTCTGGACACCCTTTCCCTAATTGGGTCGAATGGGTTCAGTTTCCACGAGGATATGCAGTACCTCGTTTTCCTTTATATAATGGGACAGGTTGTCCAAGGCGCCATTTGGTTCGTTTCCTTGCACAATGTGGAAACACAGTAAAAAGCCAGGCGTTACT